ATGATTTTCGATATTCCCTCATAATATGTGAACACGTAATTTTTGCCCTATGCGAAATTACTCATAAAAAATATTCAAAATAGTTTCAAATTATTTTGTATCATTTTAGGAATTTTGTTTGTCATTTTGAATCATTAAAAACGTCTTTAAAATCGCAAAGAATCATCAAAAAATATTTTATCCTTCATTTCATGACATTCTAGGATTTTAATTGCATTTTTAGGATTTCATTGTTCGTTAATTTCATAGTTAAAATATCAAAAAATCACAAAAATGCATTAGTTGCTTTTGCCTTTATTTTGTATTCTTAGGTTAAATTAATTAGTTAATTAATTCATTAGGCAATCATTAGGCAAAATAGATAAATAGGTTAATCATGAAAAATTCGGATCTAGTTGGAATTGGAATTTAAAGATGGTTAATTTTGCAAAAATCTAATAAAATAAAAAAAAGGAGAAAAAGGGTTGTTTGTTTCACATTTTGAGTTGGGCTAAACAAATTTCACGCCACAAATTCCCCAAAATCTGCCAAGACCCAAATCCACACGTAAAAATTGCACGGGGCGCCCTATTTCGGCGCCCCTTTTTAACCTGTAGCCGCTTTGTCTTTCTGTTTGCACCCGTACCCACTTTTTAAAAAACTTCAGCTTCCCTTTCTCCTCCCCTTCTCCTTCTTCATTTTCTCATTGTCTGGAAACACAACTCCGTAAGGACTGAGGAATGATATGGTCATACCATTGATCAGAAAAAGGCACCAATTTTTGTCCAACAAAAAAACAGCAACACGAAAATCAAATATGTTGTAATATAGATAAAACATAGAAACCGTAAAGAAAATGGAGAAACTGATCATCAGCGATCAGAGATTCAAATGTTAAAAAGAAAAGTTTTCGAAAACAAAAACAAAGCATTATTTTGCAATAAAAACAGAACGCAAAATCGGATGCATTAGATGATCACAATACAGTTAATTAGATGTAACTGTATCTTCTTGGTGTCCTGAGCTGAAGTTAATTAGACAAAAACTTCAGCTCTATAGCTGAAGTTTTTCAGTTACAACACAAAAACTTCAGCTCTAGAGCTGAAGTTTTCTAGTTACAAAGACAAAAACTTCAGCTCTATAGCTGAAGTTTTCCAGTACAAAAGAAAAACTTCAGCTCTAGAGCTGAAGTTTTTATTTTATCTTCAGGCCCGGCTACTAAAATGCTGAAGTTTTGTGTGATTGCCTTTGCTACTTCAGCCCCGTGTGCTGAAGTTATGCGAAAAAGCGGGTACGCTTGCAATTTTTTTTGCAAAGCGGGCACAGGTTAAAATGTGGCACAAAAAGCGGGTATAGATGCAAATGCCCCAATCCACACGGTTCAAGTCCCTAATTTTATTAAATGGTGTCGTTTAAGGTCTAAGTTAGTCAATTTGATCTCCAACGTCCATTGATCGTAATCTGATAGCTCGGAACTGTCCATGTTATCACATAAAAATGTCTGAGACAGCCTACCCCCCCCCCCCTCCCCCCACAAAATGACATCTCTCATTCTATGACGAGAAATTTTACTTTGCGTCTCACATGCCATATCATACTTGTGTAGACTCTCCAAAGTTGGACAATTAGACTAATGGGTCCCACTTTTAGCACCATTTTTCTCTCTCTTCTAATTCGTATTTCTCATTTCAAACAGCCCCTTTTAATTTTCTTTTTTTTTACTCTACCAGAAAATTCTTCTTCACTCTCCACATCAGAATCCCAAGATATCACTTTAGTTTTCCTTAGCACAAAACTCGTCTGTGTAGAAGAAACAACAGCTCTTGGGGAATAATATGTGTGACAATGAAAAAAGGATTTACTTGGAAATGGGTTTAAAGTTTGTGAAGGGGATTGTGGAACAAATTAGGGTGAAATAGTTACTCTAACCTATTTTTCCTCCCCTGTCAACTTTGGTTCTCTACTTCTCCGTTTAATTTTCTCTATTTCAAATGTAATTTCAAATTATTATTAACTAATTGTTAATGCTATCTTTTTAAGTATGTAGATTGATTTTTTTTAAAGGAATTTTTTTCATCGCCTGAAAGAACCCACCACGAAACAGTCAGAACGACGCAATATTAATTGAGTAACTGTGGGTACGAAATCTGTTAAGAGTTAGAATTGGCCTTTTCTGGTATCCTTAAACAAAATCTCCACGTTTCTTGCTTTTTGTTTTTTACCAAATAATGATGAACAATCTTAAGGATATCAATTTTACTGCAAAAAAAACTGATTAAAATACTTTATCAATTTAGCTGCGGCTAGTTTTAGATGAAAAGCTTGTGATTTTTTGAAATGCTTTCATCTCTTTTAAAAACAGGAGTGGGGAGAACTAAAAGAGCGAGAAAACGAATTTTTGTCTAAGGATGGAGACAGAGATATTTTGGAATTTTGATGTGGAGAGTGAAGGAGAATTTTCTTGTAGAGTAAAAAAAAGGAAAATTAAAATGGGTTGTTCGGGATGAGAAAGACCAATTAGAAGAGAGAGAAAAATAGAGGTAAAAGTGGGACCCATTAGTCCAAATGTCCAGCTTTGGAGAGTCTCACACAAGTATGATATGGCATGTGAAATTCAAAATAAAATTTCTCTTCTATCACAGACCACCCTCTCTCACCCTCGGCGTGTAACCGCAGCCGAAAATCGCCCATGGCGGCGGCATCACTCCAAATGCCCTCAAATTCATACCCCATACTCCTCACCTCATCCTCAGTCCAAATTCACCATTTATTTTTCTCAAAATCCACAGCAAACTCGTGGAATTCTATATCTAAACCCAAAACCCTAGATCCTCCTTTCTTCTTTCGATTTTCGTTTAAGCCATAGTCCCTGTGACCATGAATTTTACGTTGATCAATTGGTCTCTTCAAAACCTTTCGATTGATGTTCGTTTCATGCTAACCCGCGATACCCGGAATCATTCGTCTCTGTTAGAATCCGTTGAACCTCAACGGGCTTTGCCTAGTGAAATACTTATCGGACATCAAGAGTCCATATAAGTGTTCATCGGGCAAAGATCGTTTCCGTTTAGTATTGAAACTCCGGCGTTGGCATCAAATCTTGGGTTTTTCTCGAGACTACTCCTTTATCCTCCTCTTCATTCCTTCATTTTCGTTTAGCAGTCCGATCTACTGTTTGATTGGTATCTATTTGTTTTTGGCTGATTGCATTACATGTTTAAGAGTATATTAATTAGTAGCTTGTTTAAGATTAATTGAGGTTTTTGTTTAATTAGCAATTGATTATATTATGCTGAAGCCTGTTAATTGTTGATTAGATTGGTAGTTGGTTATTAATGTGGTGTCATATTAGTTAGTATCGTTATTAATACCATTTAGTTATAATCTTGAAATTAGAATAAGAATAGCTTCTATCTTTGATTTTAATTTCCATTTTAAGTTTTGATTGGAGCATGAACTCCATTTCAGTGGGTTTGAGTTTGGTATAGGATTGGGTCTGCTTTGTGTAATAGATAATCCCGTTAGAGTTTAAAATTGGTTTAATGGGTGAGAAGTTTTAGGTCACATGACTCTTGATGTGCGAAAATAGAGATCATGGGGAAATAGTAAGATTGTAAGGTTCAATTTAAAAATAAGTCCAGAGGGAATTTTAAGTAGCTACTAGAGAAAGTTCTAGAAGAAAGAAGAAAGGGCTAATTTGCAAGAAAAAGAAAAGAAAGGGCCAGGTGTAAGGGACTTAGGGAGTAAAAATAGAAAAAAAGGAGGACTAAAAAGAAAGAAAAGAATAATCTGAAAAAAAAATAACTGTACAAAATCTGTTACAAAAAGATGCCTTTTTCCCCATTCACGGCTGACACATTTTTTCATATATTCTCTCATTTGCATATAAGACTGACACCCTCATTTTATTATGGATCTGTATATACTCATTGAGATAGAATTCAGACTTTTCTCTCTTCATTCTCTTCATAGGCAGAGCTGAAAGTGAGGATTTTAAAATTCAAAACCTCTTTTCTGAGATCTGATTTTTCTAGCTTAAAAAAAACTAAAGGAAAAACACAAAAACCAAAAGGTTTAGGCTGATTTTCATACTGAGAATCAATTAGTTGTTTGCTGTTGATTGAAAAAAGTATTCTATATTATCTTCTTGGGTTCCAAAGCTGATTTTTCACCTGGGATTGAAGCTGTTTGTTTGCTGTATTATTGCTGAGTCTTCTAATCTCTCTTCTCTGGTCTTTATTTGGTATTACTAAGTTGTTTCAACAACCAGGTATTAAGTCATGATTCAAATCTCTGTTTTGTTGAAATGTTTGAGTTTCTGCAGTTTTTGTCACAAATTCTGGATTATTGTCAAAATGTGTCTAATTTTCCTTCATGATTTTGTTTTGTTTAATCTGAATAAGAATCTACTGCAGTAATGTAACAACTGTGGGACCAATCCCAATTAAAATAAAAAGAATAAAAATGATTGGATGAAATGGGTGGCAATAGTAGGCTCACAACTTGGTCTTGCAACAAGTTACAAAATCGTTTTGGATGGCAACTTGCAATGGAATGAACCATTCTGATTGGTTCAAATGTTGGCAAGTTCTCCTATGAATAGGAGCTTATTTCTCTCATTCAGACACAGCAAATCAGAGAGAGCGCAATAGAGCGTAGAGAGAGTAATCCACAGATTGTAGTCTGTGAGATAAATAGTGAGTGGGAGTAATATTGTAGTGAGGTGTTTAAAATAAAGAGTGTTATTTCTTTCGAAGTTGTAGTAGTCTCTTGACACTACTAAGTTGTAATATTATAGTGGTAATATTGCTCCGCTGGGATATTGTATTTTATCCCGTTAAAATATTTGGTGTCGTTGTTACTCTCTTGTGTTATTGTTATTTATCGGGATATTATTACTGGGCGGGATATTTATTTTTTTATCCCAACAATGTGGTATCAGAGCCATGGCGAGTAATGGTCCGCTGTCTTTTCAGTACCCCCGTCTCACAAAAGATAATTAAGATAATTGGTGTCTACGCATGAAAGCCATTCTTGGCTCCCAGGATGTGTGGGAAATCGTAGACAGAGGATATGCAAAACCCGATAATGAGGAAGCTCTGCCTCAGAATGAAAAAGATGTCTTGGCAAAGACAAGGAAGAAGGATCAACAAGCCCTCACGCTCATCCACCAATGTTTGGATGATGCCATGTTTGAGAAGGTGGCCGATGCTACCACCTTAAAAGAAGCTTGGGAGATTTTACAAAATTCTCTTCAAGGAGTTGACAAGGTGAGGAAGGTAAAACTTTAAACTCTACGTGCTGATTTTGAGGTTTTAAAAATGAAAGAATCCGAATGCATTTCGGATTATTGTTCAAAAGTGAAGGCTGTTGTGAATCAATTAAGAAGATACGGGGAGGACATAAAAGATGTCCGCGTGGTAGAAAAGATCCTTCGCACTTTAACACCTAAATTCGATTTTGTGGTGTGTGCTATTGAAGAGTCTAAAGATTTAGACTCAATGATGGTGGAGCAATTGGAGGGTTCTTTACAGGCCCATGAAGAAAAGATCAAGAGGAGACAAGAAGTGCCATTAGAGCAACTTCTTAAAACTCAGGCATCCTTCAAGGATTATGGAGGTGAAAAAAGCTATCGAGTGAATGGACGAGGACGCGGCCGTGGCGGTCATGGACGAGGAAGAAGTAACGGTAACAACTTCAACAAAGAAGCTAAAATCCACCAAACAATCAGAGGTCGTGGTCATGGGCAAAGAGGAGGAAGAGGACGTGGCTACTACCGAGAAAATAATGGACAAAGGTATGAAAAATAAAAAATTGAGTGTTATAATTATCATAAATTTGGCCATTACTCTTGGGAATGTCGTAGCAATGTTGAAGAGAAAGCTAACCTTGTTGACGACAAGAAAGAAGAAGATGAGTCAACGTTATTGTTTGACGACAAGAAAGAAGAAGATGAGTCAACGTTATTGCTGGCACTCAAGGAAGAAGACATGGATGATTGCAGCTCGTGGTATTTGGATAATGGAGCAAGCAATCATATGTGTGGATGCAAAGAAAAGTTTGTAGAGATCAATAAAATGGTGAGATGTAATGTGTCTTTTGGAGATACCTCAAAGATTCAAATCGAAGGGATAAGTACGATTCTGATCTCCTGTAAAGATGGTAGTCACAAGCTAATTCAAGATGTTTATTATGTGCCAAAATTAAAAAGTAATATTTTGAGTTTGCGCCAACTTCTTGAAAAGGAATATGACATCTACATGAAAAATATGCATCTTTGGCTTAGAGATTCAAGTGGAATTCTAATTGCTTAAGTGCATATGGCAAATAATAGATTATTTTCTCTGAATCTTAAAACAACTGATGCAAAGTGTTTGAAGGCTAATGTGCAAGATGAATCATGGTGTTGGCACATGCGATTTGGGCACTTAAATTTTGAAGCGCTCAAATCAATGGGAGAAAAGAACATGGTACATGGGATACCATCAATCAACCATCCAAATCAACTGTGTGAAGCTTGTCTTCTTGGAAAACATGCAAGGAGGAGTTTTTCAAAGGAGGCCATGACAAGATCAACCAAGCCGCTCCAGCTTGTTCACAGTGATGTGTGTGGACCAATCAATCCACCTTCTTTTGGTAAAAGTAGATACTTTCTGCTTTTCATTGAGGACTTTAGTAGAAAGACTTGGGTTTATTTCTCGAACCCAAAATCTGAAACTTTTGCTGCTTTTAAAAATTTCAAAGTACTTGTGGAGAAAGAAAGTGGCTATGAAATTAAAGCTCTAAGGTCCGATAGAGGAGGCGAATTCACTTCAAACGAATTTAATGACTTTTGTCAGTCTCATGGAATTCGTCGCCCTCTAACGGTACCTTATTCACCCCAACAAAATGGAGTTGCAGAGAGAAAGAATCGAACGATTCTTAATATGGCTCGATGTATGTTGAAAGCTAAAAGTATGCCCAAGGAATTTTGGGCCGAAGCTGTTTCTTGTGAAGTTTATTTGAACAACAGGTCTCCAACAAGAAATGTTAGAGATCAAACTCCTCAAGAAGCATGGAGTGCAAGAAAGCCAAGTGTCAAGCACTTGAGAATCTTTGGGAGCATAGCCTATGCTCATGTGCCACATCAAGGGAGAGCAAAGCTTGACGATCGAAGTGTCAAGCATATGTTTGTTGGCTATGATACGAGTTCAAAAGGCTACAAGTTATACAACCTAAGCAGCGGCAATGTGGTGATAAGTCGCGATGTTGAATTTGATGAAGAATTGGTATGGGATTGGGAAGCTCAGGAAGAAACTTCATATGATTTTCTTCCATACTTTTGGTGATGAAGAAGAACCAGAGACCGTGGAACTTGTGCAGGATACAACTCCACCTCCTTCTCCAACCAATGTTGAATCTCCCTCTTCTCAAGAAAGTTCAAATGAACAGCCGCAAAAGGACAAGGAGCACTCAAGAGCTCCATGAGGACACAGAAGAAGTTACTAAGTTTGATTTTTTATGTTGTCTCTTTGCTGATAGTGAACCAATGAACTTTGATGAGCTGTTACAAACAAAAAGTGGAGACAAGCCTTGGAGGAGAAGATTGAGTCAATAGAGAAGAAGAACACTTGGGAGTTAACAACTCTTCCCAAGGGTCATCGAGCAATTGGAGTGAAATGGGTATACAAAATAAAAAAGAATGTTGATGGAGATGTGGAGAAATACAAGGCACGACTTGTGGCTAAAGGCTATAAGCAAAGACAAGGCATTGACTATGAAGAAGTCTATGCACCTGTTGCCCGCATGGAGACGATTCGTTTGCTGATCTCTTTGGCGGCGCAAATGAAGTGGAAGATCCATCAACTAGATGTCAAGTCAGCCTTCTTAAATGGCTATCTTGAAGAAGAAGTCTATGTTGAACAACCATTGGGCTTCGTGGTCAAAAACCATGAAGATAAAGTGTTGCGGTTGAAGAAAGCTTTATATGGATTAAAGCAAGCCCCACGAGCATGGAATAGTTGCATCGACAAATATTTTCAAGACAATGGAGATGAATATGCTCTTTACCTTAAAGTTCATACTAATGGAGATATCTTACTTGTTTGTCTTTATGTTGATGATCTTATTTTCACGGGCAATAACCCAAGTTTGTTTGAAGCTTTTAAGAAAGATATGTCCCGTGAGTTTGAGATGACAGACATATGGCTCATGTCATATTACCTGGGCCTAGAAGTGAAGCAGATGGAGGATGGAATTTTTATCTCTCAAGAAAGCTATAAAAAAGAGATATTGAAGAAGTTCAACATGCTCGATTGCAACCCCGTGAACACACCGATGGAGAGTGGGACAAAATTATCCAAGTTTGATGAAGGAGAAAAGGTGGATCCCACATTTTTCAAAAGTCTTATGGGAAGTTTGAGGTACTTGACTTGTACCAGGCCAGATATACTCTTTGCGGTTGGAGTAGTAAGCCGCTTCATGGAAGCTCCTACCTCCACTCATTTGAAAGTCGCTAGAAGAATTCTTCGATACCTAAAAGGTACGATCGACTTTCGGTTATTTTATTCTTCTTCTAATGACTTCAACCTTATGGGATTTTGTGATAGTGATTATGCGGGAGATATTGATGATAGAAAAAGTACACTGTATTTTTTTGGGTAATTATGTTATTTCCTGGAGTTCAAAGAAACAATCAATTGTTACTCTCTCGACTTGTGAAGCTGAATATATAGCAGCAACATCTTGTACCTGTCATGCTATTTGGCTGAGAAGATTGTTGAAGGAGCTCAATTTACCACAAATTGAAGCTACAGAGATTTGTATTGACAACAAATCCGCACAGGCACTCGCGAAGAATCCAGTGTATCATGATCGAAGCAAGCATATTGATACAAGATATCACTTCATCAGAGAATGCATTGCCAAGAAGGAAGTCGAGCTCAAGTATGTGAAATCTCATGATCAAGTTGCGGATATTTTTACCAAGCCTCTCAAGTATGAAGATTTTCAGAGGTTGAGATCAAGACTTGGAATGAAAAAAAAAATCAAAATTAAAGGAGAGATTTGTGGGACCAATCCCAATTAAAATAAAAAGAATAAAAATGATTGGATGAAATGGGTGGCAATAGTAGGCTCACAACTTGGTCTTGCAACAAGTTACAAAATCGTTTTGGATGGCAACTTGCAAAGCAACTTGCAATGGAATAAACCATTCTGATTGGTTCAAATGTTGGCAAGTTCTCCTATAAATAGGAGCTTATTTCTCTCATTCAGACACAGCAAATCAGAGAGAGCGCAATAGAGCGTAGAGAGAGTAATCCACAGATTGTAGTCTGTGAGATAAATAGTGAGTGGGAGTAATATTGTAGTGAGGTGTTTAAAATAAAGAGTGTTATTTCTTTCGAAGTTGTAGTAGTCTCTTGACACTACTAAGTTGTAATATTATAGTGGTAATATTGCTCCGCTGGGGTATTGTATTTTATCCCGTTAAAATATTTGGTGTCGTTGTTACTCTCTTGTGTTATTGTTATTTATCGTGGATATTATTCCTGGGCGGGATATTTATTTTATTATCCCAACAACAATATCTAAAATTAAAATCAAGTGTGCTTCTAGAATAATGAATTAACTTCATGCTTAGCTTATAGCAGTTATCAGTTCAATGATTTCCTGTTGTAAGTAAGCCAGATATTGGCAAAACCAAGCTGGGAGTTGACTACTACTGAAGCTTACCTGTGTTAGTGAGATAAACGTGGAGATTGAAAAAGTGAATGAAGAGTGTAGACATGTAAACAAAGCAGGATGAATTACAAGCCAGAGTTTAGGTTTTGTATTTTGAAATGCAGTTTTAATTTCAGAAAGATGGAATTTTAGTACATAGACATGCATACCGTTGTAGGAAATTTTGAGTTATGAATTCAGTATTATGATGTAAATTAATTGATTGTGTATTATAATTGAGATAGTTTTTAGCCGATTTAAAGTTTGAATGGTCATGTATTCAATATGAGAAAGCATGTAATTACCCCCCACATTATCGTGTTGTATGTTAGTCTTTATTTTTTGTGCTTTGGGAATTGAATTGGGGGAGTAACTTGAAGAAAATCCAAACCTTCAAAGGCCACATATCTGGACTTGATTCGGTTGACTGGACTACACCAGCAGGCCCTATCGCTGGTCAGCCCACATGCGACATTGTTTAAAAATGGGCTCAAACTATCGTCAGTCATTTGATAAGTGATTCAAGCATCTTGAGTTACTATACAACTATTTAATTAAGGGGGTTTTGATACAGTTACCCACGAAAATAAAACTATTTACCTTTGTCTACCTATTTATTTTTTCTACCCATAAACTAATTACATTTCCTACCCATAGTAGGTTTTATGGGGAATTTTTTCTTTATTCTCCAATTCTTTTTTATTTCTATGCTTCTTTTCTTTTCTTTTTCCTTTTTTTTTCTCCTTTTCCTTTTTCTCGTTTTCTTCTTATTTTTTCCTTTTTTCGTTTTCTAATTTCATTTACCTTCTTTTTTTTTTTATATTCTTTTCCTCTTCATAATCTAATTTCATTTAACTTCTTTTTTTATATTCTTTTCTCTTCGTAATCTAATTTCATTTACTGTTTTCACTATTTTTTATTATTCTTTTTTTTTAAATATTATTACTAAAGAAAAATCAAATTGTGTACCAATTAAATATAGCTAATACAACCAAAAAAATATTAACTAACATTTGATACCAGTATATTATATAGTTATACCAACAGGGTATACAATTGTACGCAAAGAGTTAAAAAATTTTTAATTCAATTATTAAGCTGAAATAATATCAGTTGTCAATAAAAATTTTAAAAAATTCTAGAAGGATCTAATTGTAAGAGTATACCGTTACATTATATAGCATACTATAATATATATTTATTTTTTTTGCATTTTTAATTTGCCCCTCACGCTGGGTAAAAGCTTAAAGAAAATTAAAAGGGAAAAGACAAGTGAATTTACGGGTAATAAGTATACTATTATAGTATATTGTATACTATTACAGCATACTGTTATAATATATTGCATATTATTACAGTATACTATAATTATTACAGTATACTATAACAATATATTGTATACTATAATAGTATACTGTTGCAGTATAACTATATACTCCTATATTATATTGTATATTATAGCGGTATACTGTTAGGTAACTGTGTTCTTCTTCGATTATTACAATATACCGTTGCAGTATATTATAAACTATAATAGTATACTGTTGCAGTATAGCTATATACTCTTACATCATATTGTATACCGTAGCGGTATACTGTAACTGTGTTCTTCTTCGATTTTCAATTGAAAAATTCGATCTCAATCACCTCAAATCAGCTCCAAATGCTATCAAATTTCAGTATGAACTTCCAGAAGGTACTATAAGCAATATTTAACAACACACACTTTGAATCAAACAAGAAATCTTCAAAAATAAAATTGAGCTTCAAGCCCAACAATGGTGGATATTCAAATACACATAAAAATTTAGTTGGGAAGCTTACTCGAAGATACTATAAGCAATATTTTATAGCACCACATCGAATCAAACAATAAATCTTCAAAATAATAGCACCACTTCAACAAAGCAATCATGAAAGAAGAACGAAATTTTTGTGGATAGACAAGGGTCGCTAATTATATGTGGATTCTTGGAGTCTTCCTATTTCGTTTTATTCAGTTTTTCATCAATTGAGGGGTCTGGATTGCAGATGAACCTTATTGCTTTGATATTATTCATCGCTTCCATCTTTGGCCAAGCAGCGGCTGGAATTAGCGGGTAAATAGTTTGGGCCGCATGGGTAGGAGTAGTAAATAGTTTGGGCCTGGGCATTAAAGGGTAAATAGTTTGGAATTAATGGGTATAAAGTGAGATTTTCTCTTTAATTAAAGCATTCGTATAATTTAACTAATTTAAGTCACATGCCTCCTAAGTATTTCATCCGGTAACCAAGAGGGGGATTTGCATCTATCTCGCTTTTTGGGTCACGTTTTAACTTGTGCCTGCTTTGCAAAAAAAATGCAAGCGTACCCACTTTTTTCGCGTAACTTCAGCATACGGGGCTGAAGTAGCAAAGGCAATCACGCAAAACTTCAGCATTCTAGTAGACGGGCCTGAAGTAGCAAAGGCAATACGCTGAAGGTTTTTTTTTGTCCTGGATAAGATGCTGAAGTTATTTAGTTAATTTGTAAAAAGTTAGCACTAAAATAGCTGAAGTTTTTTGTCCTAGATTCATTAGTTTTGTCATAAAACATATTCAAAAACTTCAGCAGAAGATGCTGAAATTATTTAGTTCATTTATAAAAACTTCAGCACTAAAATAGCTGAAGTTTTTTTGTCCTGGATAAGCTTTTTCAAAAACTTCCGCAGAAGATGCTGAAGTTATTTAGTTCATTTGTAAAAACTTCAGCACTAAATAAGCTGATGTTTTTTGTCCTAGATAATCTTTTTCAAAAACTTTAGCAGAAGATGCTGAAGTTATTTAGTTCATTTGTAAAAACTTCAGTACTATATAAGCTGAAGTTTTTTTTTGTCCCGGATTCATTAGTTTTGTCATAAAGCTTTTTCAAAAACTTCAGCAGAAGATGCTGAAGTTATTTAGTTCATTTGTTAAAACTTCAGCACTAAATAAGCTGAAGTTTTTTTTGTCCTGGATTCATTAGTTTTGTCATAAAGCTTTTTCAAGAACTTCAGCAGAAGATGCTGAAGTTATTTAGTTCATCTGTAAAAACTTCAGCACTAAATAAGCTGAAGTTTTTTTTGTCCTGGATTCATTAGTTTTGTCATAAAGCTTTTCCAAAAATTTCAGTAGAAGATGCTGAAGTTATTTAGTTCATTTATAAAAATTTCAGCACTATATAAGCTGAAGTTTTTGAAAAAACTTTCTAACATACTAGATAAATAATCACCTTATTCTTTCATAGTGTATTACTACTATAAAATAATCAGATTGCCAACAATATCTAAATCATAAATTTTGGAAACAATAAACGTGAAAAGAACAGAATTATCATGAAAAGAATCACTAAGTGTGACCTTAAACTTTTCCTACGTGAAAATATTCACAAATTATTGTCTACTAACTTACGTAATTATTTATAAATTATTTTTAAATAATCTGATAAACATACTTATGGTAATCATCCCATGAACTGATGTTTCATAGTAGCACCAACAACAGCAGAAGAAAGAAGAAGAAGAAGAAGAAGAAAACAAAGGAGGAGAAGGAGGAGGAGAAAGGGAGCTGAAGTTATTTAAAAAGTGGGTACAAGTTAAAACTTTTTTAAAAAATGGGTATATGTTAAATAGGGGCACCTAACAGGACGCCCCGTGCAATTTTTACGGTTTTCCCTCTTGTATGAATAAGTGTATAGTAATTGTCAAAAGTTGGTTAGATCTACCAACGTCACCAGTTCTCATTAATTTAAAATACACGTCTTTTTCCAAGTATTTTTTGACATTTTATTACAATGATCTCAAAGACATCACATGAGCCTTAGGAAAATAATTACTTTACAGATATTCGTAGAATGCTTTTGGCGCAATTTTAATCTATTATTGTGATTGTGTACACGTTCGCGTGACATAATAATGATTCCCAAAAATTTCAAGGTATGCGATCGTGCGACTTTGGCAAAACAATTATAACTAATAATTAAGTGTTATGATTGTGTACACGTATGCGTGACATGATTTTAGCACAATAAAAAAATGGGTTCACACACACGTGATTCATTTCCAAAGATAATTCCATATTCAATAATTAAAAGCAGTAAAAGGTAAAATGCACATAGGTTCTAAAATATGTATTAACAATTAATTAGCCATGTATAATTAAAACCAATCATGCTAAAATCACGTAATCTGGGAATGCATGATACCTTAATAGAATTCCTTACTCGGTCTTCTAGGTTCGCAGACTTTAAACAGAGTCAATTTTCCTTGATTTAGGATTTTAAAATAAATCGGTGACTTGGGACACTATTATAATTATTTCTAGTGGTGACTCTAATTAAAAAAAAATAATTCCATTTCAATAATATCA